TCTTAATCCTAAGTTGCCGATTTTTGGTTAAAGGTGCCGATATATCGGCACTTTGAGATTAAAAGGGTTAAACATCACTAATAGCCTTCTTCCTTCTGAACTCCTCGTCGTTTTCTCAACGTTACGGCTCCCTTATGCCAATAAAAGTGTTGTTCGGGATGATTTGATTGTAGTTGAGACTTTTTCACCAGCGAAAAAGAGTGCATAATATTAATAATAATTGCGCCATAAAGACGAAAGAGACATGCTCTTTCCCTCAATTATTTCCCGATATACAATGAATCTCAAAGTGACTGAGTTGTCGATTCTCAAGTCTTAATTATTAATCAGTTTCTTCTTCGCTTCCCTGAGGGATTATAATCCCTGGCATTCCCCTGCACTTCCATTATCACATCATTTTAAATTGCCGTGGAATACTCTGGGTGCATACCATTTGTACATGTCCACGAATCAGATCCTACTGGAGTGCATCTCCCAGTCAAAAATTTTTCATTGGGCCATCGGAGGCTTTTTGTCGACGCCTACATAAGCCCCTTGGGCCATCACTGGCATATGGTTGGCTAACGGTTGGTTTAAGCCGGCTTGTGGTCGGGCATGTCCTGTTGGCCCTTCATCGGCGCAACTTTGGTTCATTGTTGGGAAACCTCACATGCCTCAACCATGAGCTAACTTATCACAATTGTGAAAAGACAGGAAAAAACCTACATGAACTGCATTTACGGCATCGTGCATCTTGGAAAGATAGGGATGGATGCTTTGACCCCTACTGCTTTTTCATCTGGGAGAGATGAAAGGACAGTACCTTACCAGAGTACCTTTGACTGGTACACTCCTATCGCCAAGAATAGCCAAGAAGAAGCATCAGGGTGCAGAATCACAGGAACGCAAGGGTATCTGTCCTCTCGTAGGACATTGGTGTCCAATAGGATTTCGATGCTCGCCAAACTTGTGGCGATCAGGTCACCATATTCTCCATATGATACAAAATATATGTAATTAATAAAAAAAGAATGCTCAATCTTTTGAAAGAAGGTTTGATGAAGAGCATCGATTCGCCACATGTGGCGAGTGGCGAATGTATTGGGCACCATGGTCGTTGAAGACCAGGTACACCTTACACGCGATAAGATTTTTCGGCATCTTTAAATAAAAGAAATGAGTCGCGTTGCTTATATTGGAAAGTAGAAGGATCCTTCCACGGACCTCCGGCCCGGCATTTCATGGTTTAATCCAGGGCTAGGGTACATCTTCAGATAAATGTTTCAAGGAATTCAATTGCCTTCCTCTGAGATCTATATGAGAAACCATAGGGAACAATGTCAAAGGGACAGGGGACTAATTTCAGCAGAATCCGGGAAGTGACTCCTTACAACGACCACTTTGACTCCATCTCACGCCTGTTTTCGGAACCTTCTCAGCCACATTATGGCCCGACGATAAACCAGCGAAAATTTTTGAATGGGCTTGTGCGTCTAAGAGTTACTCAATTGTGCCTATTCGATGGCAATCTGGACAGTAGGAAATAAATGTTTTTCACAGCAAGCCTGCTGATTCCTCCTTGCAGCCACCACCATCACCAATTCTGATCCAAACACGAGAAAATGAAATTTTCAATACATTTGGTTAGGAATTTCTCCAGCTTGGAAAAGTAGGAGATAGATTTGTTGATCTTTTGCAAAACTGCCCCAGAGGATCACGAAATTGAAGCCTTTGGAGTTTGTTAGTGAGAGTCTCCCGTGGAAGGCACATGTGAATATCCAACTTCAGGGTTCTCAAGAAAGAACTCAATTTTATTTTGCATGTAATTTTTCTTAGCAGTAATTTATACATATATTTATTTAACCTTTAAATTATACAAGATTGGGAGTTTTTCGATGCAAAAACATTTTCGATATGTGCACCATCCACTTCAAAAACTCGTGCCGATCGTGTTTTGAAGTTCAGCATTCATGCAAGCAACATTTCTTCCGTAATGGCTGTTGTGACTGTGGATATTTCATTTTTTTGATCTTCAATTGTCCGTGGGCGATTCCTGTGCACGGAGACTTTAAGGTGCCCCCACAAGAAAAGTCACTGGGATTCGTTCTAGAAAATGCGGCGGCCAAAACCAACCGTGACCAAAGCGACCCGTACCTAGTTCTGCCATAAATACTGTTACAAGATTTACATGTTCCTTGCGCTCTAGCAAAAGAAACTAGAATATTGTAACCTAATAATCCTGCAGTGTATTATCCACCGTATTGTTTGGTAGCATTTTGACTTTTGTGTTGCGTGCAGTAAACATGGAGTGGGGTGACAGAGAGAATCGCATAGCAGTGATTGCCCTGCACAAAGTGGAACAGAACCCTGCAACCATTTTGAAGACGTTGCAGCCACTTGGAATCAGTCGGCAGTTTGTTTCCCGAGCCATCAAACGTTACACTGATACTCAGGGAGTACGAGACCGCCCTAGATCTGGACGTCCATGCACTGCCAGAACACCACGAGTCATGAAAGCAGAATAGCAACAGGATTCGGCAAAATCCTCTCAGCAAACAGAAAGTGATGTCCTGGGAAATGGTCATCTCGACTAGAAGCATGTCTCGGTTGATGAAGTCAGACCTAAGGATGGGTGCTTACCGAAGAAGCACAGGACACATTCTGACTCCATCTTCGAAAGAAATCAGAAGGTCGCGATCGAAAGTGTTGCTGCGGAGGTACGCGCCAAACAGACACCACAAAATCCTCTTTGCTGATGAGAAAATCTTCCCAATTGAAGAAAAATTCAACCGGCAAAATGGCCACGTGCATGCCCACAATTTTCTGGAAGCTGCAGAATTCATCCATAAGGTGGAGAGAGGTCACCGTCCTGCTTCCATCATGGTTTGGTGGGGGATGAGCTATGGTGTCACCAAGCTGCATTTTTGAGTGAAGACATCTGCCAAGGTGTACCAGGAAGACAGTAAAGCATCTCAGCGAAGCAATGTTCAATGGGGGCAACTGAATCTTCCAGCAAGACTCTGCATCTGCTCAAAAGGCTAAGACAACGCAGGACTGGCTAACCAACAATGTCCCCGAGTTCATCAAGGCCTCAGATCGGCCATCTGGGAGCCCCGAGTTGAACCCACTGGCCTACAAACAGTGGGCAGAGTTGGAGCTGATGGCCTGCCGCAGAAGACATCCAAATATTGAAAGTCTCAAGCGAACCCTTGCAAAATCAGCAGCCAATATCTCAATGGACATGGTGCGTACTGCGAACCATGAGTGGACTGATTGTTTAAAGTCGTGTGTGAAGGCCAGGGATGGAATTTTTGAATAATATATCTGTAATCTGTTAGTAATTATGTAGGGAAATAAATGCTGTTAGCGAATACAGCGCATGTTTTATATTAACAAAGTTACTGCAAATAAACCTTGTAACAGTATTTATGGCAGGACTAGGTACGTGGTATGACGATTTGAAATCACTAGAATTTAAATGGAAAAAAAATTGAAATCGGCTGATGGACTTATTGAGCTCCTCTCTATTGCTGCCTTGATTAGTTCAACATTTTCTGGCGTCTTAACTGTACGCTTGCAACCAACGTTGCCTTTCAAACTGTCTAATACTGATCCTGTCGCTTCAAACTTTTTCACAAAATTTGTGATACACTTTTTTGACTGTCTTTTTCTTGCTTCGTTCAAATTTCGTTCAAAAATCCCTTTGGACTTGCACAAAACCATCTCATTTATAATAAATAAAAACATTTTACCATAAAATCTCTCTTCTCTATCGTATAGGCCGCCATCTTGAAAAATGTCAACTGACAATTGACATGGGCATAGTGAAAAAGCTCCCAGTACTTACTGTTCCAATTATATCATCCCCACACTTATGAGAAAAGCTCTGTGAATATTATAAAATCAATAAAATCGTCCTTTTGTTGAAGACCCTGTAAATTGTAAGCTGAGCAGAACTGATCGGAAACGCATGATGAACGGTATAGTTGCGTTTCATCTCCACCTGCAGAGAGTTTTATCAATCCCATCCGCCTGTGTCTACACTAGGCAAAACCCTTCTTGACATTCGATCTGCAATTAGCATGAAACTCTGAAGCCTTTCCCGATCCATCCTCGTTGACAGAGCCGCATATGAAAGACTTGAGTTCGTCCTGCAGCATATGCCCTCTATCTGAGAAGGGAGAAAATAGTCTCCGATGCATTAGAGCGGTCAGTCTCCCGTTACCAACCTCAGCCACATTAAGGTGCATGACCTTTCGAACCAAGTCATGAAAAAAGATGTAGTTACCATGTGCTTTCTTTTTGGATCCTCATTTTAAGTGAGTCCTCTTTGCTCAACTGCGATGGCAGCCGTTATTCATGAGACATTCCTGCTACAGAGGATTTCTCATGTCCTACTTGTCATGGTGCAATGAACGTTGCTGGTCTGACCGTCGACTTCTAGCTTTCTGACATAATAGCTCAAGTAATCTAGAGTCACTGATTTGAGACGAATGGAAACAATGAATACAGAATACTTGACGCTTCATGCGAACCGATTCCAGCTACCCCTGAAGAACCTGAAACGTTCTAACATTTAATTAGAATTTTTATTGGACCGAAAGGCCACCACCAGGCTGCATCTCTCCTACATATTAAGAAATAAACGAAGACAGTAAATTAAAAAAAAACTTTACGACAGAGGCCCTTTTACACTCTTAGATTATTCAGGCGCTTTGAAGTCATGAACAAAATTATCCATTTCTGAAGTCTCGTAAGCTTCATTTTCGTGAAGGGAGCACAAGACTTGTCAGCGTCTCTTCAGAGTTCTGAACCGCTCTAAGTGTTTACAAGCTGAAATTTTCTTGGATTAGGGAAGACATTTGATGCGTTGTCAAAATCACAGCGACTCAGCAGTTCATCTAGTAACGGTGTTTATTGAAGTGAGGATTTAACAAAAACAATGACTGCAGGATGAAAAAAAAATAGAAGAGGTAAACAGAGCTGGCCACACGAAGCATGGTGTCAAGAAAGGTCCTCGCTCAACCAAACCTGCGAAAGAAGAGAAAGCCAGATATATAGAAGCGGTGACAGGAGAAAGAGGGAGAAATTGCATGGCCTCCATGTCAACATTATTCTCTTCCGGTCACGCTTCGTTGATTCAAAAGGTTCCCTTTCTATCTTCCTCCAATCCTCTAAATAATATAATTCATTTCGCATCTTTCGCGATGCGTAGGTTATTTTTTTCAAAACTACACATTTTATTTGAGCGATAAATGCTGAAAAGTTTGAAGCGTTCTAATGGAAGCCAGCACCGGAAAGGACGAGGTTCTGCCAGAAAAGAAAGTTTCGCTTTCCTATTTAAAAAATTCCTTATACTATCCCACACGAGAGCGAATTCTGCCTATATATATGATCATCTGTGCATTTCAAAGAGATAATTCACTTGTAGTTCGGCACTAACGTGTCTCATGCTTTAAATTGCTTCTCTATGAAACCCATTTTAGAAAAGAGTGCTGGTTAAGGATTGATACCTAACTCGAAGGAGGCTCTCGTGGTATGTATGACATATCTTTAAGAATACAACATATTAGTGCAAAAAACAGGGCCTCTTAGTTTGCCTCATATGAATTCTCTTTCTTAATTTATTCGTCCCTTTTGAGATTGATTGATTATACTTTTTTCTCTCTTCACATTTTAATATTATTTTACATATGTATGATTTTCATATTATTTTAAACTTCTTTCTTTATAAACTCCGTTTATAAAGTTGAAAGCAACTGACCATCCGCCTCCGCCGCTGCTGCTACTGCTGCTACTGCCTCCCTTGCCCTTGCCCTTGCCCTTCCCCTTCTTCCCCTTCTTCTTCCCTTTGCCTTTGCCTCCGCCGCCGCTGCTGCTGCTGCTGCTCCATCCGGAGCTGGAACTTCCTCCTCCCTTCTGCTTCTTCTTCTTCTTCTTCTTCTTCTTCTTAAAGAGCTTCTTCCTCTTCTTCTTCTTCTTCTTCTTTTTCTTCTTTCCTCCTCCCGAGCCGCTGCTACTGCTGCTGCTACTGCTACCACCTCCAAACCTGTGTAGACAGAGGTACACTTTCAGCCGTATTAAATACATTTGCACCTCAAAATTAGAATCTATTCCTGACAGCATATGTACAATCGTTTCTTAAATTTCTTTCAATATTTAACGTGGGTCAATGATCCGATAAGTGTCCTTGGCATTGTTGTCTGGAAGCCGAAGCTCTGAGAGAATCCCGCGTCTTTTTTCCATAGCCTCTAATGTGCATCAATGTTTCAAGCTGAAAACCCTAACCCGACGGATTCCAAGGGGATTTCGAAATAAATTTTCGGATATTTATTCCAACAGCGGAAAAATCGTGGAGAGAAAAGAATCCTTGGGAGTCAAATTATTTGAGTCAGTGCTTTCAGTAAAAGGTACTGCAAGACTTTTGACTGGCAATAACTTGCGAGGAAAAATTCTTACTGACAATTACCATTCATGATTCAAAACAAAGACAAACAAAGGAAGAAGATATGACCTAGAAATCACCAATCAAGCATTAATAATAATGCATTTCCTCTGCTTCTTGTCCATGGGTGAAAGTTGAAAGAAACTTTCCATCCAGTTAAAGGATGAACCCAGAAATTCAGGACCTGTACTGAATTCGTAAATGCTACCCCCGTGAAGCGATTCTTAACGAGACCTCATTCTTCCCGATGCGATGGAGATGAGGTGGACTCACAGTTAGACAAGTTCTCAAATTCAAGGACATCATTATCAGTTTACTGTTCTTTTGACAAATCGGCTAGATGTATATTCTTCAAGATAATTGGCAGTGAAACTTTCCCAAAAATTTTCCTGTCTTTTTAAATTTATATTTTGGGAAAGAATCAGATAATATTTCTCGTTAGCTTGCTCAGGGAGAGTGGATAACTCTTCTCCTTTCAAATCTCGCTCCCAGAGCGAGTGAAATGAGCTGCAGATGTTTCTGGCATCTGTCACACGCATTCACAATAGCGTACTAAGTACCATCGGAACGTGTCGGGCTAAGTAGGCTTAGGGGTGCCGTTGTCACTTTTCCTCGTGCCGAATTTCTTTGAGAGGTTCCCTTTCATACAGAAGGAGGTAACAAAAAATGCAACCACCCATTCGATTATGTCCATGGCCTATTTGAGGCAAGTCGTATTGATTGTATGATAAAAATCTAAAATATGCATCACCCTGTAAGGGTAGCTACCTCGATAATGAATGAACGAATGAATGATCGAATAAGCGAGAGACTCTTAAATATATGGTAAAGTCAACCTACTTAGGAAAATTCTATCAGGTCAGCGTATAGGTTTTGGAGAAGACGTTTCCATTATTATTTGTTCACTAAAATTCCCACATTCAAAGGGCTATATAATGATACCGACCTCGGAGTGAATTTGTTCTTGTAACACCCAGTACAATCATTTAGAACGTGTGAAATGATGCGAATGATTGAATGGCGTGCAATGCATGAGAGGTTTCGTCGCGGTCCATCGAGTTTCCTCGCGTGATGCACACTTGCAACGCTTTTCGCGTCTTTTTTTTCTTATAATTTTCTCTCCTTTTTTCAAGTGTACCATTTGGGAAATTACCCCGTGATGGCTTCCGGGGTTGCGGGCCTCCGCGGATTCAGGCGGAGGGAAAGGAAAGGGAAAGGGAATGGTTGCGCTTCAACGAGATCGAAAGCAAAACCGTCTCCGATTACGTCGTCTTCTTCCATAACGCTAGATGCACCATTTTCCCAATTGACGCAAAAAAACCTGATGGGCTTCCTTGCAGTCTCGAATCTTGAGATTTGCTCCGGGCCCGTACTTGTCAAAAGTTTGTTGGCACCAATCGTCCAGAACCATGTGCCCCGTTAATATTCAGAATGCCACTGAAATATCTGAAATTCTCCATAACTTATTTCATCATTAAGTCGTCGAATGGACCTGTAGAAGGTTTCGGAGGTACTACCGCTTTCGTGGGTCGTCAAAAGCATTCCATGATGAGTAGAATTGCGGGTCGGGACCCATTCCAACTCGAATGAGTTATCGAAGATATTAAAAGAGTTGATAGAATGGAAATTAAGGGACAAACCATTGGGGAAGAGCGAGCGGGTATGACTTGGCGTCCGCTAAAGCGTTGGCTTCAGCATCTGCCTTGGGAATAGCGGATGCGATGCAGATGAGGCACACCAGAACCACCAGGGTCCACCACAAAACCTGTATGTCACAATTTCCACTGTAATCATGCACTCTTCATCTCAAACTCAGCGTTCATTATACTCATTTCTAAATTAAAAAATTCTAGAGTTCAATTTCCAATATGTAAATTGTAAAAATTTACACAGCATTCGGAATTTCTCCAATTCGTTTTAAGATTGTTTTTGATAAAGACATTGATATTTAATATGCAAAACAAAATTTTATAAAAACTATTAGAAATAATAAATCTGTAAGTTGTTCACGATACCCACGTAGACTCGAAAGTGGAAGATAAACCAATGACATTACTTGTGGAAGTAATCTAATTTGGTTCGTCCTTGTCGACACTGTTGGTTGCACGTTTGCAAATGGAGAAGGCAAGAACTAGACTCTTTTACTGTAGGTCTTGTCCCTCAATATTGAGGGAGGTGCTGTTAGGAGAAAAAGGCAGTAGAAAAGTCTGAGCTCTGACTTCCATCAAACGTTCTTCAAGGTATAGCTTTCTTTCGGGGGTAAAACTCGGAAAAGGTTCAAAATTGGAAAGAAAGTTGGGATATTTCTCGTATCTTCCTTTCCCAATCCCAAAACTCACACATGGAACCTTAACTTTTGGACAGACTTCGTTCTCCATCCTTTACTTGTTAGACTTTATTTCTTAAGAATTTATAGTGATGTTTGGTAAAACGTATATTTTAATAATTTTTGGGGGAATATTGTGATGTTTGATTAAACTTGTTGGAGAACTTAGAAATTTTAATGGAATAGAAGAATTCAACATTATGACGCCAGAGATTGAGATCAAACGAAACTAAAGTGAAAACTTAGAAATTTATTTTAAAGGTGTCACCAGATAAGTCGAGCGAACCACGAGAAAGTCTATGAACGAACCTTGGTCGACCACCCCATGCCGATGGAAAGCGCTGTCAATCCATAGCACAGGAGAACACACCGAGCGATGGAAGTGTCCTGGGAATGTGGAGGAGATCCGCCTCCTTATATACTAGGTAGGCCCAGAGCCCGAGTAGAGAATAAGGCCCTCCCACTACACCTCCTTCAATACTTTCCTTATGGCGTCTTTCATTCTTTCACCCGACCGCGCAGCTGTGATGATGCAGGGGAGGCATGATGACGCTTTCGATATCCCCACTTTTACCTGCACCATCGTCGATGGTCATTAAAAGATCACGGGGACGTAACCGACCGACCCGTTTGCCGTAACCGCATCGTGGTTATTTGGGGATTAAAACTCTAGGTGATCACCCATCTATGTCCCACATTCCTCTTCCGCTTCCTATTGAGGGATCATTATCTTGCCTCATAATTGAAATCAATAAATTGCGCAATTTTCGTACAATGCGATAGTTCTCCAGGAATGGATATTTTTGCTCAGAGAAGAGGTGGTTGTGGAGGACTTCTAAGCACGTTAATGCAAGGTAACATCGTGCACTCAGGTCCTGCATATGGAAGCTTTCAATACTCATCCTTTTACTATTCTACAGGTGACTGCGTCCACCAATAAGACAAAATTTCCTTGTTAAGCTTAAATAAGGGTTCTTTCGTCGCCTTTATTTCGTGAAGTATGGGTTCCAAACCACTTAAACATTACCACGTTCCGGACTTCTTCACTCTCCCACGTTCTCTCGTCGTCTCCCTTCAAGTTTGATTTTAAAATGATTTTGGCTGGAATTGCTGCGGTGAGTTCTGGATCCCAACGGCTAATTAGTTTTTTATTATCAAACGCGAACTGCCGCGTGCCGCACGACTTTTCCCCTTTTCCTTCCCAACCTAATCATGCCCAGCAGCAGATGTGAATTCGTGAAAGAAAGTGACAGGAAGAAGCAGCAAGAAATAAAAGAAGAAAGCCAGAGGATGGCTGATGAAGGGATCATCTGCTGCGCGTTTCACATGTGACAGTGTGAAAGTCCAAAGTCTGCCTTCCCTCCTATTTTTTCGTCTCGTTTTCGCCGCCTTAATTTCGGGAAATTTGAGTTCCACTTCGCTGAAACCAGAGGAATTTCTCTTCCTCGTTCCTTCTATACCATGAGCAATACCATTAATATCATTTTGAAAATTTTTTTCCGGTCTCCGACAAGCATTTTTGTCTGATTACCTCTACTTGATCCGAATATTCACGTCTAACGCAGGAATAATGAGTCATATCCGCTTCCCAGTTCGCATGGATAGTCGAATGTGAAAGTCGGAGCCCTCAAACCATGTTAATATATGCATTCAGGACTTGACAACAAAAAAAAAACTAACGCCGTTGGGTTTCGTCGTGTTGAAGGAATTTTTATCTTAAATCTCGGCAAATAAGGAGTGAATATTGCCTGCCTTCTTCAATATCGTGTTTGAAGGTTTTATGTTCATTCAAATACATTATTTCAAATCGAAGCTAAGACCAATATTCTGCGACAAGTTTGACATTTAAAATAGACGGGAACTCCTGTGCTTCAAAATATGTTCTGCAAAACAATTTTCCATGACGCAAAAACGACGTAGTACTCGATGAGGGTGCTGCTAACTCTGCTGCTGCCCTTCAAATGTCATCGCGCCTCAACATTCCAAGTGCAGTGCCAATGCAGACAGGAAATGGAGTCCTCCGTTTTATATTTCCCACTTTCTGTAGAAAGGTATGATTTTGATATTAATTATCGGAATATGACAATGTCAAGCTTCTTCCTTATCGCGGTTGCGACTTTGATTGAGTTGCAGAAGGCATCATCATTTTGGTTTCTCTGCTTTCGGAAAGTCTGACGTTTTCTAGAGTTCCAAATTTTATTATTGAGAACTTCAAATCGCTTCAGCAATGTTATCGTTGAGCAAATTTGCTAATGTGGAAGACAGATACCTACAATTAAAGATGGAAGAAATTTGTTTTCATGAGCAGTGTTCTGATCTTGTCAGTGTTCAGTTTTTGTCATACTCACCAGCACATTTTACTCACCACTTTTTAACCCTTAGATGCATGACACGAGTATTTGGAATCCATACCAGTGAATATTTATTTCCGAAACAATTGCAATCCTTGATTCAAAGGTTTCTCACATGGACATTCCTTTTAACAGAATAAACGTTCTCTTCAAAAGTCCAACTAATGCGTGTTGTTTTGGCAGCATGTCTCACAGACCCAACCTTTTGGAAATATGCCTAATTCGGTCATGCGTCCTAGGGTTAAATATACTTCTTTTGGCGACATTGACATTTACTACCACTGTTGCTACAATTTTTCACGCTTGCAGCTCACCCAATTATTACTGTAAATCGAAGGTAACTTATTCCCTTCAATGGTCGAATTTTGACATTATCAAACAGCAAAGTGTAGATAATTCTTGCCTGGAAAACAGGTGAAATAGTGTTCATACGGGAGTGGTTCAAACTTGACCTGGACTTTTCCTTGCAGAAGGTGCAGAAATGCACATTTACGAGTATTTGAGGAAAAGTCGGAGTAAAGTGGAACAACTTGTCATCACAAGTTTTTGGTTGACGAGAACG